AATTCTTGCAATATATAAAACATGTGTTAATGAAATCAGAACAAAGAACATTATTTCTAAACATATAATAATGTTCAACTTCCCTAGCAAAAATATTAAAGCTTTGATGGAAAATCACTCTTGAATTATAAAATTTGCAAAGGTACTTTAAATATGATAGTATTTTTATGGATGTAATTACATTCATTATTCAGTAAGTATTTCCTGAACATCTATAAGCATTAGTCACTTTGTAAGACCTAGTATAGTGTAATCAAAACAAGATGTCCAAATGTCTTTCCATTTATAAAGATCTTGTTTCATGCTATTCATTCAGTATTACAATTTTCTTGATTTATTCCGATAAATTTTATAGACTTTCTCATAATGTGAATGGAATATTTTCTCATTTTTAAGTTATTGGGAGTATTGACAAAAGCCATTGTTTATTGTATATTTGTCTTACAGGTAATGTTAGCCTTTTAAAGCATCTTATAAATTCTAGTGTTTTGTAAAAGCCACTTGGTTTTTCCAATTCTTCCTGAGTTAATTTTGGTAATTTATATTTTTTAGGACATTACTAATGTCCTCTAGGTTCTTAGTTTTGCCATAGGATCACATATAACATTTTTTCAATCTCCTCTGTTTGTGGTTATATGTCCTATCCTTTCCTATTGTGGTCTTGCATACTTTTGTTTTCTCCTTTAATTAGGATTATAAGTGTATCATCAATTGTTAAAGGGGAAAATACTTGTGGATATCTTTATCCTTTCTTTCCTATTTTATTACTTTTGGCTTTTATCTCTGTTAAGTCCCTCTCTTTGGCTTATTTTGCCTTTTTAATCATAATTTTACAGTTTCTGTAATGAACAGTGACTTTTTTTCCTTTTTTCTCTAAATGATGACCATACGTTAGGCCATAAATTTTCCTAAAACCTGTGCTGTGCACTCCATTGGTTGGATATGATGTGTTTCATTTTTTTATTGCTTCTAAATAATTTATAATTTTGATTTTCAGTTCTTCTTTAGTTCAAGGTTTATATAGGAATATGTTTAAGTTTTTTAGGCTCATTTCTTTTTATTTCCTTTTTTCTTTTTTCGTTTTTTTAGTTTGTGATAAAAAAATGTGAACTATATAATCTCTTCAAATTTTCTTAAGGTTGTTAATGTGTATGTGTGTAGCCCCAAGTGAATGACTGATTTTCGTAAATGTTTTATGAATAATGAAAAATCTTTATCTACTATGTGCTTACTTATTTTTGTCCAATATATTATCCAATTTGAAAAGAGTCTTATAAAAATTTTTTTATATTTGTATTTTAATTAATTATGTACATATTATTATGCCAAGTTCATCTTGCATTTTTAGTAGCATTTGCTTCATTTACTTTTCTACTACGTTATGTGGTGCAAACAGGTTTATGAGTATCTTATCTTCACAATGTACTTTATATCATTATATAATATTTCTATTTATTCTTTTTTAGTGCACTTAAATTATTTGTCCTATTCAGTACTTTTAAATTCCACCTTATCTGTTAATAATATTCCACTCATGCATTTTTATCTTTGTTTTGTGCTTATCTGATATTTGTGCCTATTCCCTTTTTTTACAAATAATATGTAACTGAGTTTTGCTTTTTTAAACCTAAATTAATTGATTAGTTGAGAGAACTCAGCCCATTTTCATTAATTTCATAATTAATATATTTGATTAATTCCTGTCATCTTATTGAAGTTTCTTATTTTATTGTGTTGTTTCTTCTTTTTCTATTTTTTCTTTTTTCCTTATTTTTGTTGATTTTATATAAAGGCTATTGATTACCCTTTTTTTTCTTTTTACATTTGGGAGTTCTGTGCTTTTTACTTCATTAACGTTTACATTCATCCTTACCACATAGCCCTATTATTCCTTGAGGCAAATTATCAAATGTTCCTCCCATAAGATTCCTTCTTCTCCCCCTTTTCCCAACACTATCAACCTGTGGGATCCCTTTGCATTCCCATTATCCCCAACTTTTAGACTGTTCGAATCTGTGTTGCAGTGTGCCTCTTCTACTTTAGTCCTCAGTTAGCCCTTACATTGCACATTCTTAGATGGTCTACCATTACTTACTTTGATTTGACTCTATGGATATCGCAAGTTTTATTGCTTACCACTGTTTCCTCTCATCTTAGTCTTTCCTCACCTTGAACACTCTGCAGGTTAGTTGTTGGTGGTGTAACCTAAACTGCCATAGGATCCCCCTCAGGTTGGTAGGTGGTGGTGATATCCTGGCTGGCTCTGAGGACTCTCAGTCTGCAGTCCTCTTCAGAGTCCTGCCTTGTTAAGACTCTTAAAGAGTCCATGAATGTGATTTCACTGCCCTCAACCTTTTGAATGTTCAGTCCAGTGCCAGTCTAATTGTTTTTCCTGTGTAAGCAACTTGCTGTTTCTTTACAAAAGACTTTAAAATGTTTTCTTTATCCTCAAGCTCAAGAATCGTTTTAATGTATGCCTAAGTGGAATCTGTTCTCAATTCCACCTGAAATTGCTCTTTCAATGCACATATTTGGATCTTTCTAAAACTCAGAATAAGTTTATTTTTAAAAAGTAGTTCTTCTTTTGTAATCATTTTTTCTTCCTTTTCTTTTTCTTGAACTTCTATTACTTATAGGTTAGATGTGCTAGGTCTTTCTTCCACACTTTCAGAACTTCTCTGTATTTTTCTATTTCTCCCACTGGATCTTGAAATCTACTAATTCTAGGCTCAATATTTATCAGCTCTTCTGTCTTATCTACTCAATCTTATTTTTTAGTTTCAGGAACTCTTTCTTAATGCTGTACTTAAAGCTCTTCAAATCATTATTATTCTGTTTACCCCAGTAGCTGTCCTTTGTTGGTAGACTGTTCTGATTGCTTTCTCTACTCTTTCCCTCTCTGGCTGTTAGGCCTCCTCAGGTGTCCTCTTATTTTCCTTTGTTGATTGCAGTACAGGTCCAGCTTCTGGGGACTTCAAGTAGACTGCTCCGTGAGAGTGAGAAGGCAGACCTCCAAGTCATCATGGGCTGGTAATAGGCAAGTTTCTAGCCCCTCCACACTTCCTTAGGGCCAGTAGATCACTCTGACTCAAGGGTCCTGTGATCATTGAAGGACAGCTCTCCAAAGGGGCTTCTGCAGGCTAGTTCTTGCCTTAGAGTTCTCTTGGTGTGGTCCCAAAGCTCTTGTTCAGCCCAGAGCAAGAAAGCACTGCAGCTAACTAGCTCACACCCTCTGCCTGAATACCAACCCTAATGTCTGCTTGACTGAAGAAACGAGGATGTGTTTGGCCAAAGCTGGAAATAGAGAGAAAGCAGAGCACGGTTAAGCCATCATCTTCCCAGAATCCCCTGGGAATATAATGATGAGCATAAAAATACACTCCCTGTCCTAATGCTGCTTATGGGCTAGTTGGGAAGATAGACATTATCAAAATAAAGAAATAAATAAGAAAGAAAGGGAGGGAAAAAAACCACATGCACAGTTCTGTAGTCACAACTGTGACTAGTGTTATAAAAGAAAGGTAAATAGAAATACGAAAAATGTATGAAAGAGGAGCTGACCTGTGGGGAAGTGATGTCTGAGGAAGCTGTGACTGGGTTGAGATCCCAAGAAGAGTAGAAACTAACTGTGCCATAAGGGAAGGAAAGAGAGCTGCATATCTAAATACCTTGGAGGTAGGCATGGAACACTTGAGGAAGTAAATGAAGGTCAGGGATCCTGGAGCAGGAAGAGTGAGGAAATCAATTCCGTCATTCATGTCAAGGTTCCTCTGAGATTCTTAGGGTGGAGAAGTCAGTGGGCAATATGAAATTGGGGCAGGATTGGACATTAGATATAAATATGTGAGCCATCTGAGTTTAGGTGTAAATTGGGGCTCTTAGACATGAATAAGAACACCTTGAGAGAGAATAAGAAAAGGAAAAGATTGTTAATTTTATGAACTGCTGTTATATGTGTAAATTAGATTATTTTTTCTGGAAAGGTGATTGGGAATGTGTATCAGTGTTTTAAAAAGTCATCATAACTTTGACCCTGTCACTCTGTTTATAGGAATCCATCCTCAGAAAATAATAATAGTAAATGTGACAGAGTCTTACAGATAAAAATGTTCATTTAAGCATTATTTGTGGTTGCAAAAAAGGGGAAATCACTGAATATTAGGAGGTTAAGTAACTTATACACTTACATTAATGTATATTATGCCATTATATTTGATGTTTCCAAAGATACAGTGGTAGGAATGACAAGGATATAATAGTAAGTGAAAAAGAACACAAAATTGGTCTGTATAGAGAGAAAATATGTGAATGTCAACTGTGTGAAAAATTCATAGAACCAAAGAATATAAAGAAATAGTGAAAAACAGATGATTGTTACCATGTTTTATTTTTACCTAGTTTACAAATTTTTCAAAATGAGCATTATTATACCTTATGTATTATTTTATTATTAAGAAAAGCAATATCAAATTATACCTTGTCTCAGTTATAAATAAGCATTTATAGTCATTTCACTCTGTTAAATAGTCGTTATTGATCTTTCCTTTTCACAATAGTGATGAGCATTTCTGTTTGATTCTAGCATAATATTTTTGGTTTGTATGATTATTGCCATGCATTTTGAAGCTTTATGAGCCAGTTAGACTTGTACTGTAGTTCCAGAAAGGTGATCTAATTGCTAGGCAATAGCAAAGCTGTTCCCCTCAGAACAGCTCCCAGTCCCAGTGTGTCAAATTGAGAACATTTGTATTTCCTTCACATCTTACTGCAGAGCAGTACAAATGACTCTGAGTTATTTAATGTGATGTTTTTTAAAAAAATAATAAATATTAACAAATAGGAATTTACTTATTTTAAATACAGTGAAATGTTTTTGTTTTCCCCAATGACTGTAGAGAACTATCCATTTGGATTGTCGTTTACATCATTATTGTCTGCAGTGATAGAAAATCATTTTTAGTTTGGTTCAAAACTAAGAGCATGACTTTCTTTTACTCTAGGAATGTGTACAAAGACTATCGCTTCCTTGAGCTGGCATGTGATTCCCAGGAGGATGTGGACAGCTGGAAAGCATCTCTGTTAAGAGCTGGGGTTTATCCTGATAAATCTTTAGTAAGTTACATATCTCTCTTATTTTTTGCTTATTAATCATGGTTAAGGAAACATGCTTCTACATACTATATGCTGGAAAAACTTCTTCTCTTTCAACTTAATTAATTTGGCATACTTTTAACTGATGCTTTGCTTATATTTCTTTTCTATTAGATTTCTATTTTAAGAAGTTTACTATTATATTTGTTAAGGAAAAAGCCCTACTCTGCCGTTATGTTGGTACTACCTGTATCCAAAATTATATCTGTATTCAAACTTGGTTGAACAAAGAAATTATATTGTGATTACCAGTTATCTTTATTAATATACTTTGAGTGTCTTGGAGACAGTTCTCTCATTCAAATTAACAAGCAGACCTTCCATTTGTGTTCCTTGGAAAATGTAATATAACACAGACTAGCCTAGATTTAAACTTCAGAAGTCCTGCCCAGCATATACACACCACTAAACAGGCTCTGCAGATGAGCAACTCTCATTGCTTACTTGATGCTCCCCTCAAGATGTTTTCCCCCAAACTTAAAGTACTAAGAATGAGCCTTGGGGATTTAGTCCAACTTGATCCTTGTGGTACTTACTTGGCTTTAAATAGATTTGTTCATTTCTAGGCCTGAAATAAGCATAAAGTCTTCTTAAGAGAAAGTTTGAAATATGGGTGCAATGGGAGACAATTGGAGCATCTCTGTGGGGATGTCACACCTGAACAATTCCCTGAGGTTACATTGGAATTTAACAGTTCCAGGCATAAAGGATTGAGGGCTTGTGCTAAAATGTTCTTCTCATTGCTAATTTTACCTTACACATAGACCTCTTAACCCCATCCCCACCAGCACTTGTGTGGTTACTACCTAAAACGATGAACTCCACAACATACTTTGTGCCCTCTAAACGAGGTGAAATCAGACTCTTCCCTGCTGATACTCAGGTATAGAGGTATCTGTAGATGGACTTTCATAATTGTTGTCCAGTTTTTAATCAGTTGTGTACGTACATATTTGCATAGATATATACCACTCTAAAGACCACATGTGAGAAACCATTTAAAAAACAAGAGTACCACTTCTACTTTTGTTAATAAGTCTAATCATTACTTATTACTTTTCCCTATCCATTGATGATAGTATGTTTAGTTTCATGAACATTCTAAATTAAAAATGCACATATACTTAATTTTTGTTGATTCAGTCCCTAGAGACTCCTGGGCACATGCTTTTTGCCAGACACATTTTAGGCATCAGTGATACAGAGGTGAAAATAAGGTCTTATCTCCCTATCCCCCAAAATACAGACCTTAAGTGAATGAATGACTGTGTAATCATGTGATATGATTTAAGAGGATGATAAGTTCTGTAAGAAAATAAAGTTAAGCTAAATAGATAGGCAGTGAGAGTGATGCACAGGCAAGATTTATCTTAGAAAAGGTGATCAGGGAAGGCCCCGTGATTTGAGTAGGCTCCCGAAGGAAGAGAGGAAGTAAGTGACATGAAAGTCTGAGATTGTCCATGGCAGAGGACTAGCAAGTACAAACCCAGCTCAGTGTCTTAGAAGAGCAAAAAAAAAGTCAGTGTCTCAGGAGCACAATGAGGGAGGACAAAGGTGCTGATAGTTTCCAAGACGAGAGGGGCCAGAGGCAGGTTAGGCAGGCCTTGCAAAAGGCAGTGAGCATTTGAGTTTTATTCTAAGTGACATGGCAAGTCATTAGAGGGTTTGAGCCAGTTAGTGACATAATATTTACATTTGTAAAGCATGGTTATGGCTGGGTGTTATGAGAAACAGTAGAGCATGTGCATTCAAGCGCAGGCATGGTGTCAAATGACCTAGATTGAAATTCTGGATGCTCCTGTACAAGGTGTGAGACTTGGGGAGGTTACCTGTTCTTTTTATGTTTCAAGATTCCCATTTCTGAGATGGAGATAACAAGAGACCCTACCTATAGCATGGTTGGCGGGATTGAATGAGACAATTCAGGGAAACAGCACCGAACAGTGTGGGCAAAAGTAAACCCTCTATTTTTATTTGTGATGGTGATGATGATTATAGTTTTCATCACAGACTAGTTTTTTTAACAAATAAAGGAGGACTATAACACTGGATATTATAATATAGCCCGATGAGTTTGCAAATATTTTGTGCTATTTTCTATCTTCCAAGTATGCTTGGGTATAATATCAGCATGTGTGTGTGTGTGTATGTATCTTCTTACATATAACTGTAATGTTTGTGAAAATGTTTCTTAAGTCATGATTTTATCAATTACGATTATTTTAAATGCAGTAGACAGCTGTGTTACTTAAAGAAATTATGCAATGCATCTCTTGTGAGGGAAAGCTGTCTTAGAAAAACAAAATTACCCATCCCTCAGTGAACTATCTTTATTATAACTTTAGATTTTCACATATCCGTAGGTCTACACAAAGAAGATGCTCAATGAAATATTTGCTATTTTTTATCACAATGCTCAATTTTAGGCAGATCTAGAGTTGTCCTACATAATCTGTTTTGACTCTTTTCACATCATTTTTATTTATTTGTAAACATACTTTTAGTATAGTTGCTTAGAAAATCAAGACAAAGGAGTTTTTTACTACATGCCAAAGACATGACAGGAAATTAAACTTGGCAGTGTGCCTTGAACATTGCTTTTCTCAGTTTTATTCCTAAACAATATTTGCATTTCTTAAGCATCATGTACTTATACAGGTTATATGACATGATTGCCTGACTTTCACATGTTTAAATGGCAGCTAACTACTGAAAACAATCTTAAGTAGAGTGCTGGTATAAACATTCCATTTGGTGAACACTCATAGACAGGGGCTGGGGGGGTACTTTTAGATGCAGTTATTCCCAGTTTAGAAAGATTTGATGAAGGAGGGAGGTTAACCTAATAACATATGTCTCTCTCTAAGTAAATTTTTAGGATTTCTCATGTGTCATTTTGTTTTTGTATCAATAAACTATTGAGTCAACAGCAAATCAGTTAGTTTCTACCCTAATAAAGAAACATTTATATGTCATACATAGACAGGAGTCTAGGTGCAAGAACCTCTGCTTCTATACAGAATACCTGTCTTTTTGACTGAAAAAACATTCTGCTTAGATCATTTTATAAAATTGTGTAAGTTTGGCTTCAGTTAGATAAAAAGGCATCACCCAAATTTGAGTGAAATGATGTTTTGGGCAAATTTTTCCCAGTAAGGTTGCACATTTTTTATATGCTCTTTGTCCCCATCAGGTTTTTTTAAATCATGTCCACATGATGGGATGTTTTCATGTCATTCAGATCATAATGTTTTGCTACCCCGTTTCTTCTGTCTCTTAGGTCATTTCTCTTAGAGTTTTCTATATATATATATATATTTTTTTTTTCTTTCCTGCTTTCCCCTCCTTTCCCCACTTCCTTCCTTCCCTTCATCTATCACTGTTATGGTGGGCTCTGGAAATTCAAAGATAAGAAAAGATGCAATGTTTACTTTCTTTGTATGAGTTCCAAGTCTAGTGAAGGAGAGAAATGCAAATAAATAATTACAATGTGTTAAAAACTACAGTGGTTATCTGTATAAAATGCAACTCCCAACTACATGCATTTTCTAATTACCTTTATCCCCTTAACATTTCTAGATCTGAAACAAAATACAGATTTACCTGAACAGGGTAGTGAGTGCCCTGAAAAGGAAATGAGGAGTCCTGGATTCAGTTTCTCACGGTACCACACTGTCTTACTCCGTGAACTTACATATATCCTCTCTGACCCTCAAATTTAGTATTCTACCAGTCACTTGATCTTTCTGAGAGCAGCCACAGTAGTTTAAAAATACATTTAAATCTGAATTTCAGTTTAGCAGAATTGTATTTCTTTTATTTCTATTTCCTTTGGCCATTAAATTGAAAGATAACCACTGTAAGATTTTATATTATTAAATGAGTGTTGCAAAGTAAAGATGTTCCTAATGGAATTGTTTTTTTTTAATTGAGACAGATAAAAAGGCTACAATTAAAGAATGTTTAAAAGGTTTACTGACACATATATATAAACTTTTCCTTTGAATGTACAGTGAAATGAGGCAGACTTTAAATCAAATCCACTCACATTTGAATCCCAACTCTTGTATTTACTACTTGTATGGCTCAGGGAACTGGCTTAACTCTCCAGTTGTTTATTCTTCATTAAACTCAAAATAACATTTTCCTCTGAGTAATTTTTTTTAGATAAAATAAAGACTGATGTGTTCAATACCATATAGCCTTTATTATTTTTAATATTGAAAGCCATTAAGGTATCCACATAGCTGTAGTTCCCTTTTCTGTGGAAACTGTCAGTGGGATTTGGGCTTCTGAGGGAGAATTTCCTCAACTGTTGGCTGGTAAATTGCTTAGGGGTGTCTTGAGGTTACGCTGTCCTGTGGTCAGGCTGGCCTCGGAGTGTCTGTTAGTCAGCAGGAGTGAGCCAGAGAGGCTGTCAGGGACAGAGAGGATTCACATGCCTGCCTGCAGATGCTGGCCTGCTGATTGTCTGAAAAAAGCAGCTCACAGATCAGTGCATGCCCTGGAAATAAGTTTGGTAAAAGTTCAGTTTTGCATATCTGTTAAGTCAAACACCACAAATTTATACAGGTAATAGATTGATTGCCTGTATAGATAGATGGTACCCCTTAGAGTATATGATTTCTCAAGAGAAGTAAAATGCAAAAAGTGAAACACCCTGAAACTTCCCCATACCTCGGAATTCAGGACTTTCCCAGTCACAGTGAAAACTTTCAGGACTGTCTTGGAGGTTGAAACCATCCTACAATGAAGTCTTTTGGGGACTTCAGAAATTCCTCTTGGATAGATTCTAAAACAGAACTTTCCTCTGTGGCAAATAACAATGAGGGGAGATGGCCTCTGTATCAGTCTAGGAGGAGAAAAGGAACGGCCCCACATCCATATAAACATTTGTTAAGAAGTGAAGACCACACCTGTGCGTTTATTCAGCCATCTAATAATACAGAACTGACGGTGCCTGGGCTTGGCCCTCTGCAGGCCACTTTGTTCTTAGCGTCTGCAGCCATGCTTCCCACAGAGTTGAGGGCAGCCGCGGGCCCACTTCTGAGCAGTTCAGGTTTTCTTCAGTGGAGGTGCTCTCAGGGTCTGAACCTACACCGCTGCCACCCAGAATAGGGGAGGGAATTGTAAAGCATGTACTGTTCTCCATTCAGGACTCGTAGGCCTCTCTCAGAGCAGACAGTGGGGAAACAGGCGAGGGAAACCAGACATGGCAAAGCCACACCACGTCCTCTACTTGCAGTTTCTCCTCCTCAAGGAGTAAGGCCCCTCCTCTGTGACATCACTGTTGCCGCTGCAGCAGGACGTCTGCCCTCGGGCAGGAAAGCCAGTCACTCCCTAATGTGCAGAAACTCCTGCCACTGATTTGGTGGATCAAAAGCTGCAGTGCTGTGGATACAATAAACTCCATCTGTTTGAGGTATTTTCAGCAATATTGCACTTTCTGGAGAACCAGGGTCCCCTTGTTCTCTGAAATAGTATTTTACTCTTGATAAAATTCCCCGTGGGGATCTTTATTGCCTCACTGAACAGTTGTGGTATTCTTTACAAAAGACTTTTTTTCCCCCTTCATTCATTTCTGTACTGTTATTTATGTCTCACATAAGCCAGTGCTGTTAACGGATATATCATGGCAACTCACAATGCCAGAGGCTTCTCTATATTATTTTATCAGTGTTTTTAAATTCGTGTTTTTATTAAATCTGATGGCTATGATGGCACTTGGATTAGACATTTCCCCAGAGTCACCAGCTGTCAGTGTTTCCAATAAAACAAGCTCTCCGGCAATCATTGACTACAACTATCCAGAAAATTTCATATGTCTGATTTTCCCCTCCACATCCTCTTTTAAAACTAAATGCCAGATCTCCAGCCCAACCTGTTCCCCCACCCTCTGCTCAGCCTTCTGCACAGATGCGCACACTTTACAAACAGCTCTCTTCAACTCTGCGTCTCACGGAGGAATTCCGTCTGGGCCCCTTGTTAGAAGAGTTCAGGTCTGTTCCCTGCCCATATCCCATCACGTCTCCCCCGCAGGATCTGACCTTGCGAGGACTCAGGCTGCCCTGGGAGTAATGAATCACCATGTTATTTTTTTAAGCCATATGTGAGTTAAATTGTTTGATATAAATCATACTCGTGTAGTTCCAGTTTGAAACAGGAGAGCCATTTGCCCGCCGCCTGTCTCTGGCTGCTCTCTGTGTCTCCATCCAGAGTGTCCCTTTTAGAAATGACTACATTTTGTGACTAACCTTTCCAGACCCATTTTCTTGAATGTGGCCCAGTGTTTATTTTGGCCGCATCCCCACTATACAGTTTTCACTTCCCATGCCAACCCAAGACAAAACTCATAATTTACAAAATGAAGGAATGGTGCAGATGGAGGTCGTAACTTGGTCTACTTACCCCGTCTCCCCAGAACCACCCACTCCTTTCCTCTGCTCTATTTTCCTTTTTTTTCCACCTTTTTTTGAAACCAAGGATGCAGTGTTTGTTTAAAAATGCATTGGCTGATGAAATTTTCCACTGCTTGGCATCTTAGAGGAGGGGCTGTCAGGAAGGAGCAAGGGGACATGCTAAATACTTTGCCTTTCATGCTAACGGTTCACTTATTACCAATTCAAACCGAGGTTCTTTGGTCAGGTTCCCACACTCCAGTATTCCAAGTAGAAAGAAAGGGGGAAATCTCTGTCATAATTTTCTGCTGTTATGAATATGTGATTTCATTTAATATAAGTAGGTTCTTTGACTTGTCCGTGAATTCTAAGTGCCGTATGTGTCTGTATAGGATGTCAGTGAATAGTTCAAATTATTTGTTTTGATTTTGCTCTAGCAAAAAAAACCTCATCATTTTAAAATGAATGTATGTTTAACATATTCCTTTTTTATTTTCTTCCTTGCGGCTGCATGCACAGGGGAACAGCAAAGTAAGTTCTTTGTCCTCGTGCAGCCCCTTTCTCTCCAGCTCCCACTCCCGTCCTGCATGTGTGTTGGCAAGAGTGCTTCTGTGCACGCTGAAATGACTGCTGCCTATGACCATGCACAAATGACACGGGGTGTGCACACGTCGCGGCAAATGCACCTTTGGAATACCTTAATGGCTGCTCTGTTTTGACCCTCTGGAAGGGAAACACTATATTCTTTGGGGTTAGTTATCAGGCACCTCAGAGAAGTCGATATTGTAAGGAAGGAGATCAACACCAAGAGCAAAGATTATGAAGATTTAATAATGAGAACTCTTCTGCAGAAAGGGAACCACAATCTGATAAAACTCAGTGCAGCTGAAGCTTTTGACCCAAAATCAAAGCTCTCATGTTAATGTGCAGTTATAAAAACCCCAAACTGGAGCCTTAAATAGCAGGATGGCTGGCTTTGTTGGCGAAACTGAGCCAGATCAGTGCTCTGGTTTTGAAGGTGCCTTAAAGTGGATGGAGGAGGGTGGGGCCAACATTTGACTTGGCTTCTGCGCCCTTGATGTATTCCGGCTGGATGGAAGCAGGAGGATGTGGGGAGTGGAGGAGGAGACTGAAATGTGTATGACAGATTCGTAAAACTAGGCAACATACACAAATGGTGGAAATTACTTTAATGTTGTTGAAATAGATAAATGAGCTATTTTGTTCATAGGGTTGTCAGCTTGTTTACATTTTAATTCAACTTTTCCACAAGATTAGAACTGTTCACTTATATTAGTTATATGATCGTAACATAGGAAGATGGTCTTAAGTTTAACAGGGTGATTTGTTTTTCATTTTTTCTGTGGAGAATTATCAGTGTTTCATCCCATCAGGTGGCCCACTTAAAATGGGTCTCCTTGAATACAATAAGAATTGAAAAGAATCTGTTGTATAAAGGTCTGCCTGCATATTTAAACCAGCTGGAATTCATCAAAATTGCCGTTCATAAGCTGTACATATAGAATGCAAAACAAATGTGAGAAATCTCGCAGTTTAATTTGAAGGAATGTGCTGTTGTGGAGTAAGTTGACATAGATGGTTGATATTGGAAAAGAGTGACTATAAAAATTTATATCTTGATGTAACTACTTATGGCCCAGGTAATAACATTTAATAAAGTTAAAAATAATGCAAGGAAAGTACAAGATAGGCATTGGTGAAGGAGAAAAGTGGTAACTCAGGCCACTAATAGTTCACTTTTAAAAACAGCAGATAACTTGTAAAATTAAATAAAGATTTCCTACACAAAGTGAAGGATGATATTTCTAACTAATACTACTACTATTGGAAAAACATCTGGACAAAATATGAAACACCCTATTTTGGTTCTTATACCATATACTCTATTTCAGTCCTTGAATAGTAAGTGTGTCTGATCCTGGTCAGTTCCGCTGCAGTGAGTCTTTGTAGTTTGCTTGCTAAGTACCCCGAGCTAATCGCAAGTGCGCTAATAGCAAGCCTGTGCATACTGTAGATCAGGGAACCAGCTGCTGACGTGCTAGGGAGGTACAACCCATAGGCCACTCGAGAAGCATTTATGATTTGCCTCTTTGACCAGTCAGTGATCAACTGATGAGTTAAAGGCATTTGTAAGACTCCCAAAGAAAACACTTCGGTATAGCAGGGGCTATCCGCTTGTTGTGTCTTGCTAGGTCAAGTTCTTCGGGATAATAAACTGTTCAGTTTAATTGAGTTTGCTTATTTTCAAATAATTATAATGCAATCAGCAATAAAACTAAAAAATTCTGAGTTAATGCTCATTATGGTACTTCTAGGGTGATGCAGAAGACCCGCCAGGGTCTCCAGGCACCTGGGGCCACCATCTGTGCTGTGAAAGCTTGGTACAATGCTGTAGGGACCTTGAGGTGCAGTTAGTTAGAATGTCATTTGCAGAATGCCGAAGATGCAAGTGCTTACTGTTTTGATTTTTAAATAATGAGTTGCTGCTTGGGAGGTGCTGATATTTATTGCCCTCAGGCCTTAACTTTGTTTATGTTATAAGTTAACTTTGTTTATGAATAAGTTATAGTTTGTAAAAAAAAAATAATAATGCTAATACTTTTAAAATGTGATCATTCTACTGACTATGGACTCTGGCATGAAAGAGCCTCTGCAGATCACAGACAGTACATCTGCATGCTATTTTCCTTTAGCTTAGAATTTCAGTATAAATGGAAAACACTGGAATACAAACTGCTGTCTCCAGAGTATAGATCTGGAGTCTTCAAAAGGAGAATATGAGGTTCTTTTTTCCTTCTCATGCTGGAATGCTTGTTCTGAGTTGTCCCTAAGGCAACATACCTAACTTTTTGCCTGCCATATACTTGAGCCAGCTGTAAAAGGTGACTCATTTTAGACTCACAATGGCCAATTGTTTATTTAATGAATGGCATTTTCTTATTTATGATACTAACCAGACGTTAAAGAGAATGAAACCTCCTCAATTCTTGTTTCTTTACATGAGGATGAATGAATTCATCTTCCCATATACATTAAATGTAGTGCATACACACACATCCACATCCACACATATATATGCTCAGGTATATGGAACAACCCTACTATTTGTTTTTGCAGTGACAGATAAATTGGCCTGCTTCATCCTTCCTTAGATTATGCTTCGAGTTTCAGAACTAATCCTCTCAACTCCAAGAAAACTACAATAGGTACATACTTAGATTTATGTTATGAATGCATGATGATACAAAACACCAAGATTCACATTCCTCTTTGAGCAATCATATGCATTTTGTTATTTCTCCTTAAAAAGCAGATTTCCCTTTTGTGAAGAGATCACAGTTGCTCAGGAAAAATTTTCCTTCCAGGCTCATTATTTATTTTTCCCTTTGAAAATGTTTTTCTGTTGGCATAGTGATACCCTAAACTGCTTAGGGTAGAGTCTGTTCTTCCTTGGAAGGGTTTCTCTGGACCATGGTTTTCAACTCAGTGTCTTCACAGGGAAGACCAGAATCTACGACTTCCCAAGTCAGTTTTGGGAATGGAAATAAATATATATAGTAACAGAGAGGTTTTTTTCTTTTTTTAGTTTGTTTGTTTATTGAGTACAAATGTAAATCAGAATGTCATTTTCAGAATTGAGGCCTTTAGATAAAAAGTAATCTCCATGTTTTGTCCTAGAGAGAAGACACTTGATTTTCTTTAATTTGATCCCCTCTCTTGAAAGGCATTTCCAGAAATTTAACAGACTTCTAGCTTTACTTCTTTATTAAAGACTTTAAATTTGGTTAAATATCTTTGACACTAAATGAGGCAAATAAAAGGTAGAGAAAAACTTAAAATGGAAGAAATAAAATTCTGTAACACAAGCTCTCAAATTTCTTAATGTTGTTGATTCAGAGATATCATCAAACCTAAAACCTAGGTAAGGTAAATGCTTCAAAAAATTTTATGGGGGAAGCTACATTTAACCTCTTCCCTCTTTTCACCTTAGAAAGAGAAATCCATGATCACTTTACCTGGCTTCAGTCTTTTATTTATTTTATTACTTTTTTAAATGAATTTTTATTAAGGTATCATTGATATACACTCTTATGAAGGTTTCACATGAAAAACATTGTGGTTACTACATTCACCCATATTATCAAGTCCCCTTCCCATGCCCCATTGAAGTCATTGACCATCAGTGTAGTAAGATACCACAGAGTCACTACTTGCCTTCTTTCTCTGTGCTACACTGTCTACCCCGTGACCCACCCCCATGCCATGTGTGCTAATCATAATACCTCTCAATCCCTTTCTCCCTCCCTCCCCACCCACCTTCTCCACCCCTCCCCTTTGGTAACCACTTGTCCCTTCTTGGAGTCTGTGTCTGCTGCTGTTGTGTTCTTTCAGTTTTGCTTTGTTATTATGCTCCACAAATGAGGGAAATCATTTGGTACTTGTCTTTTTCTGCCTAGCTTATTTCACTGAGCATAATACCTTCAGCTCCATCCATATTGTTGCAAATGGTATGGCTTCAGTCTTTCTAAATTAATCTTATATTTCCCCCAGCAGAAGGATGAAGATGCCTGCCCTGAATAGAGAGAGGAAACATTTAAAAGGATAAGCATGCTAAAAAAGAATTTGAAAGTGTTTGTCTTTATTAAGTTCTAGTAAGGTTAAATGCAATAATTTTATACATATTAGGTGACTTTGATATTTAAGAAAAAAAGGAAGGAAAATCAGATTAAAGCACCTGTCTTTACAATATTAAAAAAATACTTTGTCTAGTGATTTCCCAATGCTTTCAGCAAGACAGGTAGACATTGTCAGCCTCTGTTAGTAAGAAAACTAGTTATTACCAAGAGTGCTGATGTTGGATTCTAGCAGTAATTTGCAAAGAAGAAAACAATGTGCCAGATCCAATGTCACCAAAATATATCACCCTGAAAAGCACAGATGTCAAAGTCCATGTTAATTTGTCTTACCTCTTATGCTAGACCTTCACCTCCTCAATTCCTGTCTTTGGTCATATGTGGAGATAGGCACTGAGAACTCACCCTCAAACCTGATGACGTCTTGTTGCTGATGTGTCTTATAATCTTATTAGATGAGTGGTAGTACTTGGTAGATACTTGTAGTACCATAATGTACATTTCCTCTCTAATATTTAAATGTACAAGTGAAAGAACATTCTAAGCAGTTTAGGTAGTCAGCTCCATTAGGCTAATTTTTTTTCAAGAATGTACATGCTTTCCATGATTTTCTTAGAGAAGTTTAGCAAATGTATTTCCCTGGGATTTAAGGAGAGCCCATCTCGTTCACTTCATTTATGCATAAGAATACAAGAATATCATCAAGTTTTTTAAAAAGGATTAAAACTCCCTGGCCTCAAAGTGCTATTTTAGTTCCATGGGCTTAAAGCAATGAATTCTGTCTCAATCATTGTAACACTAGTAAACCTTTGGGGTTTTTTGGCAAGCCATTCTTAAAAGAGTATTGCTTAAAGCTTAGTTTTCAAGCCTTTAATC